AGCCTATTTTATTTGGGATTCTGCACATCTACAGGAAAATATCTTTCCAACAATACACGTAGTTTTTCCCTGCGATTCACACAAGCTGAGAAAAAAGGTTTTAAAGAAACATGCTTGCCTATTAATATATAGATAGATAGATGGAGAAAATGAAAACTGTTGTAGTTTTCTTGTTTATGGATATATAGGCCTATTGATAAAATTTGGCAAATTTATTTATTTCATCCTATACTATTGACGTATGGCCAAAAAACACTTTTTACCTTCCCCGTAGCAGCAAACCTAAGCACTCATTAAATCTAATGTTACCGGTATTTAAATTTGTTAATAAATATGTCTTATTTATGGAAATATTTGAGTATAAAAATATAATCAGACAAGTTGAAATTCGCTTAGTCAGCAGGTTTGCTTTGGCGGGGGTATTTTTTTTATATAGGTCCTAATAATAATAATAATATAACAACACTATATAATAACAAACGCATGCAGGAACAAATTTTTTTGCGGAGTCTGCGAATGAACTAGGCTAAGTTAAAAAGGCCTAGGCCTACTTGCGAGATAGTCCGTCCACAGCCTGGCGACTCCCATAGCAGAGACCAGCAGGTGTAGCGCACCGCCTGTTTTACATTCCCGAGAACAATTGGATGTACATCGGATGGCGTGGAACGTAGTTATGGTGATTTTCCATCATGAGAGATGTTCCCAATAACTTAGCTGCTGCACTCTAAAGGCAAAACTGGGTTCCAACTTACCAAGACCAGCCAATACACTCTGTTTTAACACGTTGGCTACTGCAACAGTACGAAATTTTTCATTCATATGGACCAGCAACGCACATATGCGACGGCCAGTTTCAACTCATAGACTGCAGTCGCATACATGCGACGGTTAGTCACATTAAAATAGTCTGCCGTCGCATATTTGCGTCGGGGTTCTAATGCTATTAAAATGCTTATATCTTTGTAACGGTCTATTTAAAGGCACTGAATTCCCTGTAGTGGTCTACAGAGATGTCTGACGTACAACTGCGTCGCTTAGTCTGTGGATATAATGATTGGTGACGTCATAATGATAGTTGAAAAAACTGGTCTTTACTTTTCTGCATCACTGTATGTAGGCCTATGTATGCTGCATTATCCTATGTAGCTTTTATATTTGATCAGTTATAAACTGTTTTGAATAATCTGTTCTGTTAACTTACTTTCACCTCGAAGCACAAACAAAATTGAACTGTCGCATGATCTATTTCAAGAAAACTATGATAATTTTCACTGTTGTCTTTACTGTAAACAGGGCGTCACAAATAAGCGACATTACAAAAGGTTATAAAAAAAACAAAAAAAAAAAAAAAAAGCTGAATGAATTATTTACAAACACGATTGTAGCATATTAGGCTACTATGTAAATAATCACTGTTTTACAGGTTTTCGCTCGTGGTCTGTGTGTACTGATAACCAAGTGACAGCCGGTCTATGCGCAAGATTCAAAGGGATACCTCGGTCTGTGGCAATGACCGTGGCGTCGAATGTATGCGAAGCTCAGTAGCGAACGTGTTAAAAGGCGTGTATAGTCGTCCATTGCTTTTGCACAAAGGGAATTTCGATGAATATATTCATCTGCAGTGCGGTAAGGGTTAATTTTTGTAAACATACTTATGTCAACATGCGCAAGCTGGTTTTACGCATGTGATACAAACTGTAGCCTAACTTACATAAAGTTAATTAAGTTAGTGTGACCTAGGCCTAGCAAATCTTCAAATGAAAACATTGATACTGTTGAAAAGTTTTGATTGATATTGTTTGTAAATACAATAGGGCCAGATATTGGTTTTGCCATTTCAAAGACTAGAAAGTAGATAGGCCTACTTACCTAGTGTCAATCTATCAATATTTTCTAGCTGAACATTTCCAACTTTAACGTGATTTTTCTTTATATTGTCAATAATCTCCTCCAGATTACCTTCACCGTCTTGCCAAATCAGTAGTGCTTTTTCTCCAACTAATTCGCTGGAAAATAATTGACTCGTAGTCATTGTGCAATTTGGTACCTTAGCCTTAACCACTGAATGAATGAGAATGACTGACTGACTGACAATCTATTTTGACAACACAATTGAAACAGACAGTAGCCACTCGTAGGCAGGCCACGCCGCACTCGCAGTCTGCTCTGATCTGCTTCTACTACTAACTACTAAGCAGTGCTTAGCCATTGAGTATACATGTATACCCAATGGTTTAGTTCAGTACATTTCTTTCTTAATTGCATATCAGCTTGCTTCACTTTTTGTCTGCTATCGTGTATGAACGCATGAATTTATTTGGTAACATTTGTTTCTTCATCATTTGGAATGTATGATAGTCCCTTGACCATAGCCACGGCCACCTTTAAGTCAAGGCCGCGGCCTGGTGGAATTGGCAACGTTGCTAGTAGCATAGATTAAACATACTCCTGTATGTTTAATCTTTGCTAGTAGTTGTTCAGCGCCTGACGTCCCATAGATAACATGGCAGACAGGTGACACCGGATCATTCGCGTATTGTTCATTTAAATTTATGAATATAAATTAATTAAAAGGTTGAAAATAAAACATATAGAATTGAAACCCAAAACAATATAAATTGAAAATATATTTCTGTACATTTAAAATGGAGTCAATATTTTCATAGCCCAGTAACCTAAGTGTTAAGTGTCGTATTCTTAAAAATTACGCAAATGCCATTAGCTGCCTCCAAACAAAACATCTGTAACAACACATCTTGCGACGTTGCCCCTTCGAAGGACGCGGCCTGGAGTTAAAGGTGGCCGAGTTGTGGTCGCGGGTGCCCGGCGACGGCGATACGAGCGGTGGGGTACAGTTCGGCCAAAGTTTCTGTGCGCGCGACCAGATCTGGTTGGGTCTAGGCGAGGGGGTTAGTGGAGGTAATATTGTGAAAACATTAGTGTCTTACTACTCACTCGCCCCTACCCCATAGACCTGCCAATAACCGGTGTATGTTTTTTTTTTTAGTTCGGCTAGTAGCAAACCTTCCGCGCGCACATAAGTTTTGGCCCAACTGTACCCCACCACTCGTATCGCCGTTGCCGGGCAACCGCTACCACAAAGGGTATAAGAAGATCTAATGTAAATATGAAGAGTACAGTGTAAGAAAATCCCCATGAAGATGCCACACTGAGCGGAGATTGAGTAGTTCGACAATCCACAAGACCTAAAAAATACAAAACAACAACACAAAATTGACAAAATGGTCCTAAATAAATAAGTTGTATAGCTTTGAGTTCAGTATCCAATAGTCAATGATGATAGTCATTAATTAGTTTTATTTTTGTGTAGTCTTGCGTTACTTAACATATAAATAATATAGGTTAATTTACCTCAACACAATTTACGTCATTGTGGCTCCTTTACCTCCTCTGGAGTGGATTATGATCGTTACGGCGACAATATCACCTTCTTCATATCCTCGTCAAGAACATCAACTAATTATCACTGTTATCGAGGTCGTCAAAACATTTACCACGAACACACGAACTAACATTGTTTAAAAGCGGAACAAAAAAAAAATATTTAACTACGACTGTGGCCACAGATTTGCACTGCACGATTGACATGTCCGGGCAGTCCGCATTTATAGAAAACCAATTTTGGTAAACTTGGTATTTACAGAACAACGCACAAAATAGCTGTTTATTACTAAAGATTATCTTCACCCTCCTTAACAAAAAAGATTGGCTTTTAACTCAATGTTTTATCGTCTCTTAAATACCCCACTGTCTCAGAAAAATCATAATTAAGGAGTAAAATACATAAAAGACGTGGCAAAGTATAAAGGGTATGTGAGACTAAAATCGTAGACAATATGTTGACAAAATCTTTAAAAAGAAATAACGAAAAGAAAATAACTAAAATAGAACCGATCAAAGAAAATAAAAAACATCGATAAGCACTATCCCAAACCATATAAAGGCATCAAGCAAACGTTTTAGAAAATTTTGAATTAATGGTTCTATTTGAAGTAAAAAAACCAAATTAAAAATATTCTTTGAAATCTTAAAAGTAAATTAAAATCCATGCCTTCGTCCTAAACTAAGATTTTTACTTTCTCCCCATCCTATACCATAGTATAGTAAGTATTGTTTTCGTCAAAATTTTCGAGTTTTAGTTTTGGGTGAATATATCCGTTTTAGGAGTGGTTTTAGGTCCCTATGAACCTAAAAAGTGGGTTTCGTATGCGCACGTGTGTGTGTGTGGATGTGTACATAGCTACAGGCCACATCTGTTGTCCTATTTTGATGGAATTTGGTTTGGTAAGTATATACACTAATCAGTGTTTTTTTTTATATTTTTAATGGTAATTTTCCCATATAAACCCATAAAATAAAGGGAAAATAAGATTTTCTCGAAAATGGAATCTCTCGATCAATTTAAATAAAAATTTAGTATATAGTCCTTTAAATTCTTAACAAAATTGTGGAAATGCCATTTCCATAAAAATAAAAAACTCCAGAGCCACTGGGGCGGAGCCCTTTTGACGGATCTGCACCAAACTTCACACAAACCATCCTTGAATAATGCTTAATAATGCCTGAAAGTTTCATTACAATCCGTCGAGCGGTTTCGGAGTACATAAAGGACAAACAAACAAACAAACATAGATTAGATTTTATCATTGACTATATAGTCAATGATTTTATATAGATACTGAGTGAGTGAGCACGAATGAGTGAGATGAGTGAGATCGAGATGAGAATGAGATTGAGAATTGAGTTTGAGACGAGAAGTGAGCATTGAAGTGAGCGTACTGGCTGGACTGTACTGAGCTTAGCCTCCTACCTACTCCACTCCACTCCTCACCACAACAGTCCTCACTCCTCCCTCAGTAGTCAGTACGTCCGTATTAAAAAATTGCAGCTGAAATAAAAATCGTGCAGTCAGTACTACTACTCCTCCTCAGTCCGTTCAGTCCTCATCATCATCACATCATCCATCATCCTGAACTCAACTCGTTCATAGTTCATACTGTTCATAGCATTAAACTTGTTGACCAATTGTTTTGTTTTAAGAACTTTTAAATTATCGAGACAGCATTAAGCAGCAATCGTGTATAATTACAATATTTAACATGATTAAGTAATATTTCTAATTCGAAGAAATCGCGTTTATCGGTAAGTTTACTGAAAAGTGTCTTTCAAATTTTGTTTATATTAGGCCTATATTCGCCATTGTTAAGGTGATTATCTAATGGCGAATTGCTTGTTGAATGTTTATCAGGTATTTTAACTCTAGGTTATTGTTCAGTTTCTTTTCCCCAAATCCTGAAAACATTTTTAAAGCCTACAGCATCTTGTAAGGTAGGCTAGTCGAACTTAGAATTTGTCTCACAATTAGGCCTAGAGACTAGGCTAAGTTAAACCATTTTGTTATGGTCAGGGAGGACTCAGGTTTTCCCTAGGCTAGGCCTATGTACAGTAAGTTATCTTAGTGCAGTCATGTTAATGGACACAAAAAACATAATTGAATGCTTGAATTTGATTGCTATAGGGCTAACCCATAGGCCTAGCGTTTCATTTAGCAAAAACAAACCCGTTGAAAGTTAAACAAATCAAATCAAAGTTCTGTTAATGTAAAAGCAATCCCTATTAGGCCTAGGCTAAGCCTGTAGCCTTTGTGACTTGCCAGAAGCTTACCAAAGTTAAGTTAGAACCTACTGTTCCTGTAAAGAAAAAAGAAGATCTTTACTTGTGTATTTTGGTAAGGAAATACAACTACTTTACTTCCTTACCTAATTGATCATTCCATCAAATAAAATCACCTCACACCTTTATGTAATACAATTTAGGTATTCCATACAGGTGTGAGTATAACAAAAAGTTGCCCCCTGGTGGGGTTTTAATGAAATTTAATTTAATTTAATTGAACTACTGAGGACAAAATCAATTACAGAGCAGTGCGCAGTGGAATTAAAGATGTTAAGTGGGCCCTGTAATTAAATATCCCAGAAGTCCGATTTATGGACCGTGAGAGGTCTGATATGTTGTCCTCCTTCACACCTTCTTCAGCTTAATTCTAACACTTCTTAAAACTAATAGATGTGTTTATTTGAACACTCCATGAATTGAAATGTGCTACTCTGATGAAAGATTGTGACGTGAATTGACACTTTGTAAAACTGTAAAATTGCAAATAATAATATTGAAATATTGATTGAAAGTATTTATGAAACTGTTTGTTCAGGAAATATTTATCAAAGGTATGACTTCAAGATGTTTATATGTATGGATTCGGTTAAGCCGATTACTCATAAATTCACCAACTTGATATTAAATATTATGAACTGAACTCATAAATATTGCACTGTCAAAATATATTTACAAAATGTGATCATCAACACTCATTGTGTATACTTTGTATAATTCTTTCAGTTAAGCCATTTACCTCTTAAATTTACCAGTTTTATACTAATAATACTAGCTGAAACACAGGTGAATGAAAAGATGGATTTTTGTAAAAATTCTGTATAATGAGTTGAAAATATGAACTGTGATACAATAATTAATAAAATGAGCTGTGACACAAATATTAACTATAAACAATGTAATAACCTTTTGTGCACAATTTAGCAATATTTTGAAAGAGAGAGTGAGAGAGTTGATTGTAAGTTAAGCTCGGTGGTTTGCCACATTTTAAAACTACTAAGTCTCGGGATGACCTAGCCTTGACAACTTTATTTATTTATTTTAGGCCATCAGACTCCCCAAAGATGTTCATATGTATATCAACTGGCCAGTTTACAATTCAATGCAACAGGGAACATTACGTAGTCTTGTGATCTACATCACTCCATTGTTGATTAATGCAACGGGGCCAATCGACTACTGAGTCGATTAATTGATAACTTTTACTTAGTATTTAATGTTTATGAATTTAATGGGAGTCTATCCTCATGACCCTTCATCAACCCTAGCCTTCGACCGAGCACTCTGTACCCCCATTTACGTTATACAATCAAACTCTCACTATAAAAAAATGTAACACTCTGTTCAAAATTATTACCTTACATGAAATACAAAACGTTATAAATAATAATACTGATGATGATAGAATTTGACCTTTGCATAGAACACAAAATAATAATATCACAGATAATCATTGTTCTTAAAATTAATAGACCATTTCAATTTCATTTAATAAATAATTTTCAATTGACTATAATTACTAATGTAACTTAAATTCTTTGCATGACATGATAAAATTCAATTAAATATTTTTCATCCTGAATTGTGACCATGTGCTCAAGGTGTACCAAATGAAACATGAAATATTCAAACCAACCAGGACACGATTATAACTTGTAAAACTAGTGGAACATGTGAAAAAATGGCAGATTGGCAGGACTACGTTAATACTAAAACACAAATAACACAATACATTTACTTACGTACACATGTCAACACATTCACATTCATTCCGACGAAGATTCACGCGTACCGAACATTTAAAAACTGACTCGTGGTAATTTTGACTTTTGTCTGACCGAGCGGAATATCACGACACGGTTTTTTTTTGGGGTAGGACTTATTAATTCTTGTTTTTTCGAGCTGGCGTTTAATGATTCAATTGAAAATACCGTCACGACGACCCGCGATTCGCTAGAAACTGACATTTGCTATCGATATGATGCATGTACGAATTTTCATCACGAACGCGAACAATCAAATCCGGCATCTCAACTGTCTCGACTTAATACTAATAAAACACACCCCCAAATGCAATTCGGCGAAATTTTGACAATTGCGATCATTTGATGCACGTACAATTTTTGCCCGAACGCGAATTTCCGAGCTACGAATGAAGATATTAATAAATTCGTCCTACACCAGCGACAAAACGCGACTTCACATGTTGACTACGCGATTACTGAGCCACAAGTGACGAGGACGAGACGCTTTGCACACGGCCCGGTTCCCAACGGTCGTTGTATCCTTCCGCGTTACGTCATGTTGGACTGACTTGTCCATTGCCTGTCGCGGATTTTAAATCTTTTGATTTAAAAATCGGCACATTCCACAGAGACCCTACGATATAACTTATCATCGGATGAAGCATTAACACATTCACTGCGGGCGTATCCGATTGGATACGGGCTGAGCAGTGTTCAGGTGCTGCCGTAACCGGTCGGATACGCTCAGCAATGCCTTTCGTACTTAAGATCTTTGTACATCTACTTATTTGCTCTAGCGTCGGTCAAAGGCAGACCTATACCACTTTAGCATGTAGGCTAGTGGGTGACTTGCTTTTTGTTGTGTTGTAGGTTGGTAGTAAAATTTCCCCATAAAATCCCCGTCTGGTAAACTTAAAAATAACTTGTTGTCCCGTCTTTCTCCCCTGCAATTTTGGCAATACAATGGGACCAGCAACGTTCCAAGCAGTGCTGCTATCTGTGGGTGTTTGGCAAACTACGTCGACTCTTGTAATAAAGCAGGACATCACCGCACGTTGTTAGCTATTTGTTATAGGCCCTACTGAAATTTGAAACCCAATCACCTGGCAATCGGGTTTGTTCGACGCTGCGGGCTGCCCCGCACTGGTTTGAAAACTAATAATATTTGTCTTAACTGGATTAAGAAGGAAATTAACTTATTAAAATTAACAAAATGATTTAACACTGCTACATTGAAAATTGCCTTAAGTTCAATTTCATCATTTGATTTTGCAGTGGTTTTCAAATTAGTATCATCCGCATATAGACAAAGATCACTCAAGTCACTGAGTTGGGGAAAGCTCTAAAGTAACAAATTAATAATAAAGGGGCTAAGATGGATCCCTGAGGCACTCAAAATTTCAATGAATTTTATGGTTTTTGTTGTTTTGGTGAATTATTTCTACAAACTGTTTTCTGTTGGAAAGGTAAGACTTCAGTAACTTTAATGCATTGTTCTTTATTCCTAATTTTCTTAGCTTTGAAAGTATAAGGTTACGTGATATCAAATCAAAGGCTTTAACTTAAATACACAACACACTCTTTCCAATGAGATGTGAATGGTCGAAATCGGTTAACAAATGGCGGAGGAGTTCAAAGGACAAATTTTGTGTTGGCGTATTAATTATATAGATCATACTTTAATATTTACTTGAAGTTATTTTCTCTGCTTTTTATTCTCCCGTATAGTGATTTTTGATAACGTGTAGCCTACAGTAAGAACAAAATCGCCTATTACTGTGATAAGCATGGGAAAGGAATGCCTTAAACACATTAAGCCCTAAATTCCTATAAAGATCTGTTGAGCCAACCAGTTTCAAATGTCAGGGCGGTTAAAACCAATCTCTATTTTTGCTGGGGCAGATACATTTGATATGAAATGCATTTTATAGGGTACAGATCTGGTCTATACGAGTGAGTAGTTGAAGGAGTTTCTACCGTAAATAACATTTATATTTTATAGATTGTGAAAATGTCCAATTTGCAATATCCAAGCATCTTTGGTTGGAGATAGTAGCAGTAAATATCTATTTATGGTCATATTTTATGATACATACAATTTGTTTGTATAGGGGAAATATTAACTTCTTCCAATAAGACAGAGTAGAGAAATCTACTATATTGTATTAATTGACCTAAAAATAAACATTAAAACAATATTTGTTTGTATGGAAAACATGCCATTAATTTAATGCATTAGTAAGAAACACAAAGAGTTATACTATTCCATTGTCTAATAGTAAGTAATAAATTATTCAACAGTTCTCACATTGTTGTAGCAATGGCAACATTGTTAGCTTACTTTCATGAATCGGTACGCTTCATGAAACAACAAAAAAACCATGAAAAACAAAAAACCAGTTGTTATTTACCAAATTATATTGCACTGAAATAAAATGTTAGCATTATCTGTAGGACTTTTCTAAAATTTCTAAAAAATAATCAAAACCCAAAGTTGTAGTAGTAGAAGTAGGCTATAGTATAGGCTTAATGATTAAAAATTTATTTCACACAATTTGACTCGATTAAAATATTTTAACATTGGTAAAAGAAAACGCTTCAAATGCTGTTTTAAAAATAATCCCTTCACTGATTCTTTTCCATACAGGGTGTTTTTTTTTAAACTTGCATCTTTATTTATTAAAAACCACAATAGATAGAAATATGCAGTTTGCGGGAATCATCTATTGACGTAGGGGGCCCAATTGTTTTGAATTCAACGTTACATTCACATTCCCCCCCTTCCCCCAACTTAATTTTTTTAAACAGCAAGGTACCCCTTGTGACATATCAAATAAAAGAGCATGAAAAAAGAGAATGTTTGATGAAAAAAAATTTTAAATCGGTTCATAAATTTGCGAGATATTTCCCCCCCCCCTCCTCCCCGGAACTTAATTTTTTTTAATCGCAAGATACCCCTTGTGACATATCAAATGAAAGAGCATGAAAAAAGAAAATGTTTGGTGAAATTTATTTTTCATTTGATATGTCACAAGGGGGGGTACCTTGCTATTAAAAAAAAGTTATGGGTAGGGGAAAAGGGGGGGGATTATCTCACAAATTCATGAGCCGATTATCAATTTTTTTTTCACCAAACATTTTCTTTTTTCATTTGATATGTAGGGGTACCTTGCTATTTAAAAAAATAAGTTGGGGGGGGGAATGTGAATGTAACGTTGAATTCAAAAAAATTGTGCCCCCTACGTCAATAGATGATTCCCGCAAACTGAATATTTCTATCTATTGTGGTTTTTACATAAATAAAGATGCAAGTTTTTTAAAGAACACCCTGTATATAAAATCCAATGTATGTTTGTTGTTTGTCTGTCATTTGTCTTTTATGCGTTACCAAACTGGCCATCTGATCGGGAGGAAACTTTCTGAAGTTTTCCTAAACACTTACGGGAATTTTTCTGCCCCATTCCCATTCTGAATTCCCTCTCATTTTTGAACTGGAGCTCTGCCCCAGCGGCTCTGGAATTTCCCAGGTTTACCTTATCTTATGGGTATTCATATTTTAAAAGAATCAATGCTTTTTGACAGCTGTTTCAAATAACAAACCAATAAGTTGGGTTCTATGGTTCTATGAAGTGCAATAGCATTAAAAATTTACTGCAAAGCACTGGTACAACAGTTAGACCGAAAAAATATTCCCTCCGCAGCAAACCTGCAGGCTAAGTGAATTTCCATTTGTCTGATTTGATTTTCAATTAAATTTATTTCAATAACATTAGGTTTAACGAGTACCTAGGTTTGCTGCCTACAGGGAGGGCAATAAACTGTGTTTTTTAATAAAACATTAATAAGTTAGCTTATAAATAAATATATTTGCCAATTTTGGTCAAAATACACCCATCTAACAACAAGCAAACTACAACAATGTATTTATTCTCTATGAGAATAACATGGGAATTTTCAATTTACAATTTTCTCCGTAACTAATAACCATACAAAAACACTTTCTTCAATATACTAAATTATTTGTTTTTTTTAAGCTCTTCAAAATGGTGTGGAAAGAAATTGAGAAATTTTATGTTTTGAGAGTCAAAAACAAGAAAAACCAATTTTTACCCCATAAATCATCCCATAAAACCCTGTTCCCATGGTCCGATCCTGATTCACGTAGCTTTACACGTTTGTACCAAATTTCATCGAAATCGGATACGATTATTTAAAGTACTTTAAAGAACTTATTTAAAGTATGTCCAAGCAAGGCTGAGGGGCAACAGCTAGTGTAAAATAAAATCTAGGCGAATTCTGTTAAAAACTCAAAGAAAACAAAGTAGCTATTACAAAGGATACGAAGTCCCGGTTAGCTAATGTGCTTGAGTGAGGACTTTGAAAACACATGTTTCAGTTGCATCAGATACAGTAGAGTCCCGCAAACTCGGCACTCGATAACCCGGCAGTCTGGATAACTCGGCCATCACCTGGCTCAGAGAATTAGTGATTTTTTGAGTCCCAGTTAAATATGAACTCAAGCCAGCTCAAGTCAAATCATTCGAAACTCATACCAAGGATTTTTTGTAGGCTACTATATCTGATGACTTAATACTGACTTTTAATATAAATTAAAAAGGGTGGTTAAAAAGCTAAAAAAACTGTATTGTTCTCATTTTTGACCCTAGTTCCCGATAACCCGGCATTTCACAAACTCTGCACCCTTCCAGTCTACATTACGCCAAGTTTGCAGGACTCTACTGTAGCTGTCTCTATTATTGTAAAGTATTAAAACTTGTTGTTGTTGCAGGTTACTTTGACCTTATCTTTTAAAGCCAACTAACCATCGATAACATGGAGGCTATGGATGCTGGAGATGCAGAAAATTTGAGTATAAATTTTGGAGATGATGTTGGGGATGAATTGAAGTTGGAAGATGTAGAGTACGATACAAGAAGTGAAGTGACTTCATCTTCAAGTGGAAGCGAGTCATCCCAGCCCAGCATCAGTTCAGTCAGCACCAGCTCATCATTGGACCACAAAAGAAGACACAAACGCAGTCATTCAAGAGAGAAAAAAAGCCCTTCAGTTGAGCCAAAGCGTCCAAAGTCTCGAGAAAAGTCATCTAAATCTTATGATTATTTTACCAAACTAAATTATCTGTTTCGGGATGCTCGCTTCTTTGTTATTAAAAGTAACAATGCTGAAAATGTGGCACTATCAAAAGCAAAGGGAGTGTGGTCAACATTGCCTCAAAATGAAACCAAGTTGAATACAGCTTTCAAAGAGTCTAGAAATGTACTGCTCATATTTTCAGTCAAAGAGAGTGGTAAATTTGCAGGGTTTGCAAGACTTTGCAGTGAGTCTAGGAGAGATGTGGCTCCCATATCATGGGTTCTTCCTCCTGGTTTGTCTGCTAAAGCACTTGGAGGTGTTTTCAAAGTTGATTGGATCTGTAGAAAAGAATTGCCTTTCAACTCTACAATGCACCTTTACAACCCTTGGAATGAAGGGAAACCTGTCAAGATTGGCCGAGATGGGCAAGAGATTGAACCGAGAGTAGCAGAAGAGTTGTGTAGACTGTTTCCTGAAGATGAAGGCATAGAACTCACTCCTATTCTACGCAAGTCCAAAGAAGCAGCGAAGAATGTTCGTCCACGTAGTTCAAGGTACAGACGTGAAGGTTACGGTAGATCGAGTCCACGTTTCTCCTCTAGATCCGCACCTTACCCCAGCTGGAGAGGGAGGGGTAACTCTTTCAGTAGAGGTCCTCGAGGGAAATTCTTTTCTAGTGGTAGAAGCCGTGTGAGTAGCAGCGGAGCTGTCTATAAAGGTTCATCACCTCGCCATCGTGATAGATTATCATTGTGGTTTAGTGGTTCAAGAGATGAAAGAGGAAGATCATATGGAGGAGTAGCTGCTGCAGCTGAGGCGTATGTGGCTGATTATATGAGAAGTCTTCATCAACTGCACCCGATGACTTATGCTGCTCCACCCGGAGTATTCTCGTCATCGTCATCGTATGACGGTATACCTCCTCCCCCTCGCTACTATGATGGGCTCCCTCTGCCTCCTGAGTATCCAGCCTCTTCAAGAAGCAACGGATATTCTGACAAACGCTCTTACGACCGCTCCGTCGATGAGTTCCTTTGGCGAACCAGTGAACGTCCAAGAGATCGAGACAGAGATAGTCACCGCTACCGTGATCGTCGATAAAGAAGACTGTTTTTTATTACTTGCTTCTAGATGCACCATAAGCTGTTATTTTACCATTGAATTTGAAATCTGTGTTTTAACTCCATTCCATAGATATAATTTTTAAATCCGATTGGTGCAGTATTATTGGCTTTGAACAGATTTTTTAGCGTAGTATTCTAGTTGAGCAGTGAAGCTACATATTTTGTATATTACAATTTGCAAGGAACTAATTGGTTTTCTTTTTATGTTCTTAGTGAAAATATATGTTGATTTACAATATTGAAAGGACTTAATTAAATGCAAAATCTGTGTTATCTACATAATATGCACAATGGACAATATCCCAATCCCTGTGTGTGTGTTTGTGCAGGACTTAGTTTACCCTGTCAGTTCCTCTTATGGACAATTCTGTCTGGTTAAAATTAGGCCAGGTGATCTCTAATGGTTGTTCACGGACTGTGATATTAATTGTTATTTTATAATTATTTTACATTTTTAAATGTAATCATAGACTGAATCTTGCATTGGTGCAAACTTGCTATATAAATTATTTACGGGTATATAAAAACTTAATATTAAAACAGTGAGTTATATAAAAAGTGATCTCAGTGGACAGATCTCTGCAAGTATTTTTATATCTATAGAAGTGATTTTTTTTCTATTTTAAAGTATGTATATTAGCGTATGTATATATTTTTATATTTATAATGATGTATATAATTGGAAATCCTTTAGAATTTTTCTTTTTTTCATATAAGTTTGCCAGTTGAGAATTCATTATAATATGTAGGCGTGTTGACATTTTTGCTAAGTTACTCCGTTTTGATTATGTTTTTAATGCCATTTTTAACAATTTACCAAACATAATTCTTTTCAAATTTGATTTAAAAAATAAAGAAGTTATTTATAGATAACTGAAATGAGCTCGTCAGTAGCCTTATGATGACTAAAATTAATAAGCATATATTGGTTTGACTGAGTATAAATAAAAATTGCCTACGGTTATACTTAGAAAACAATTCTCGATATTAAAAAAATGTAATGTTATATTCCAAATGATCTATTTTTATACAGGTTCACTGTGACTCGGTTTAGTTGGATAACTTAGTGATTACCCAAATTTTACGTGCTCGCACTAGTATAATTGGAATATCGGTAGCCTATAGTAAAAAATACGTTTTCCAACACTATTTGATATAAATCAACACATATACTGTAAATTAAAGGTATTACACTGGCGTTTGATTTTAACCAGTTACACTGTTCATCTTCAGACCCAATCAAACACTAGTGGGCTTGATGAGACTGGTTTAAATGGAAACTGTATAACACTGTAACACCATTATATATTTACGGTCTGGCAAAATTTTCAGTACCTATAAGCTATATATACAGGGTATTTGGTAGTTAGTATCAAAGATTTTAATTTTTATGCCATTATTACGCACGCAAATTGCAATAAAAGTACACAATTTTTATAGGTATATCTCACTCCTACTTCCGGCAACAGCCGTTTTTAGATTTTTCTAACTTTCTTGACATTGCCTAATAAAATCTAATTTTTCTCAATTCGTAGCCAATATATTAATATTTTTTATGAATTTTTTCTATCAGAAAAATGATTGTTTGCTACAGCCAAATCCATGTAACACCTTGTAAATTTGACTTGAATAATATTTCAAACAAGAACACATTTAGTGAAAAAAGTGAGTAAAGCTAGCGACAATAAGTAAACTTGTAGAATATAATATTTTAGTATAGGTAGCTCAAACTAGTCATAGTGCGTTGAATACCAGGTAAAAGTAGAGTATTTTATAAATAAACAAGTTAGAAGTAGGCCTACTGTAATCAAAAGAAGAAGATACTATATGCAATTTAAGTTATTTTACCAAACAAATTTAAATACAAGGTAATATATAATTTAATTTAACTGAAAACAGACAAAAATCATGGAAAATTGCATTAAGAATTTTAAATATGTGGTTAAAACTTTGTGTTCTTCAGCTTTTCTTTATTGCTGCAACTAATCTTAAAGGAAAGGGTTCCTCTCAACGTTTCCACAGCTACTGTTAATTTATCAGCTACTCTTAACCTTATTCATAGGTAGTTAGTATACAATTCACTTTCAAGAAATCCCCAAACAAAGAATTCTATAGGCATAACTTAAGATCAGGACATCTGGCTGGCCATGCAAAGGGAAAAAATCCAGAAAACCAATTCTCTTACCTCATTAGTTTAATTAAGAGGAGTGCTAACCTTTTGATACTTTATTTAATATATACTTTCTATTTAAGTTTGACCTAAATGATATTACCTTGTATTTTAAAATTTGTGTTTTCGTAAAACAGTTCAAATTGCAAAAGAATGCCAAGTATTTTTTAAAAATAACAACTAACTTGTGTTTTTTATAAATACTTTTACTATTGTCTGGTATTCAATGCACTACGGCCAGTTTGGGCTGTACTACAATATTCGATTTTACAAGTTTACTTGGGGTATCTATTATACAGGGTGAGTTTCTACTGACCGTGTTAACTTCGCCACTAGGTTCTACTCACTAAAAGGAACAAAAAAGTTCATATAAACCCATGTCCGGTTTTCAACCGTTTGTCTGTAATAGGGGATTTTGTGTTTTTCTTATTTTATTAGACTTTGCTCCACAATTTATGTAATAAAAACTTCACCAATTACGTTAGAGAGTTACAGTTAAAATGATTGGAAAGAATATTAAATTTGCTATAAATTAAAGGTTTCATTCAACAATTATACCATTACATAGTCCACGTTATATCCAAAATAAATTAAAAATGTCATTAAATTAATTAATTACGAAAATGTTCATGAGCCCACTTTGATACATAAACCTGCATTTATGCAATGTTGAAATGCATAAAAAACTTGGTCATTTAATAATCTTTCAAATGATATGCTATTCTATACTATTATTGATATAAACCAGTGAGAAATTACTAATAAACTACAATAAAACACGGTTTACAGATTTTGTTTTTGCACAGTTTTACTGTTGATAATAATTACTGTATACTCCATGTTGTATTTTATTGAACAATCTGATAAGATTTGTACATTATTTTAACTTTTAAATATTTATTCAAATTATCTGAATTAATAAAATGTATAAACTCAAGGTTTTTCACATTTTCAAAGATTTAGTGTGTTTGATTCTTAAATGCTGTATAATTAGTTTTACCTTGTGCTTGATTAAGTCAGCTTTTATTGATTTGTCATCTATAGCTAGATAACTCAGCTGCTTAAACATACCTTGTTGAGTAATTTGCTGTTTTAACTTTATATTTCCAAGTCAATTAAGAATTTTTCAACATTTATTAAACTATGGAGCCTTTTACCAATCAAGAGTATGCCAACATGATGAATACAGTAATTATTATTAACAGTAAAAACTGTGTCAAAACAAAATCTGTAGACCGTGTTTTATTGTAGTTTATTAGTAATTTCTCACTGGTTTATATCAATAATAGTATTGAATAGCATATTAGTTGAAAGATTATTAAATGGCCAAGTTGTTTATGCATTTCAACATTGCGTAGATGAAGGTTTATGTATCAAAGTGGGCTCATGAAAATTATCGTAATTAATTAATTTAATGACATTTTTACTTTATTTTGGATATAACGTGGACTATGTAATGGTATAATTCTTGAATGAAACCTTTGATTTATAGCAAATTTAATATTCTTTCCAATGATTTTAACTATAACTCTCTAAAGTAATTGGTTAAGTTTTTATTACATAAAGTGATACAATCAAATTTTATGTAAATGGTTATTTAACCAAATGAAATTATAGACATATGGCACATCAAAATGAAACTCAGAGTGTGTAGATTTGCCAAAAAGTATTGGTATGAATGAATTATCTTCGATTTCCAAAGGGCTACGCCTTACACCTTATTCGATTAATTTAGTGAACAACAGCTGGTCAATGCAATTGACATTAGTTGTTTGTTTACTTATATTATTATTTACTTTTATGTTCTTAAAAGAGGTGCGGTAAATGAACACTGATGCTATTTCTAGCTGGTTGATACAAGTGAGTGCTTTAGGGTGTTTAAAAGACAATGCACATGAGATGAACAATACATGTCTCTTGGTCGTTCAAGAGGCCGTCACCGATTTGTATCAGGACTTCGTGAAAGAGGGCAACGAGTTCAGGTACAGACCTCGCTTCCGCTCGTTGCACAACATTCACCTGCGTGATGTAAAAACGCTCTTACTACACTTGTAAGGTAAATAGCTATTAATGTTTTATTTGAATTTATAAAATCAAAACGAGAAAAATTTTTATACCATAATTTATTTAGTTGAAGATTAATGTTTAAATATTACTACTTCATTTTGTCAACGGAGAGGCATGATTAGGGAGCCTTCCCACCTTAAATCCTTCATTTAAAATGTCATGTAGTGAGAATTTGTATGTCATCAAAAAATTAAATAAAATTAACAGGCATGTATTGGTTTTGCCACAGATAGAAAACCTGATTTTTAATTGTACTTTATAAAATACTAGCTGGCCCGACAGACGTCGTCCTGTCCTGATGTGGTTTTATGTCAAATGCTCGTTCATTTTCAAGATGAGCTCGTTCGCATGGCTCAATCACGTCCTGGTTTAAGTTTGTTCGCTATGCTCACTCACCTTTAGGTTGGAGCTCGTTTCCTGCGCTCACTTGCCTTCATGTTAGCTCGTTCGGTACGCTAACTCTCCTTCAGGTTGAAGTTTGTTCGCTACGCTCACTCGCCTTATGGTTGCAAATTAGCTGTTGTCATAAATTTAAATAGTGCTGCACCTTGTTCGTAAACCTATTAAGTTTTTAATGCAATTGAACATCACAGAATCAAATAGTTTTTTTTTTTTTGAACCAGCTGTTAAGATTTTTTAATTCTATTTAAATATGAGTACTCATAAGGTTAACATGGGAAACTCCAGAGCCACTGGGGCGGAGCCCTTTTGACGGATCTGCACCAAACTTCACACAAACCATCCTTGAATAATGCTTAATAATGCCTGAAAGTTTCATTACAATCTGTCGAGCGGTTTCGAAGTCCATAAAGGACAAACAAACAAACTAACATACATTGGATTTTATATAGATGAATTCTAATTCAAACAATTTATAATGTTACATTTAATTGTGTTTTTTATGATTTAACTAGCTGTACCCGCGGGCTTTGCCCCATTTAACTTTATAAGTGAGCTCGTTCGCATGGCTCAATCACGTCCTGGTTGAAGTTCGTTCGCTA